TTGCAGGATATATACGGTGCTTTAATAGTGACACCAATCAGTTCGGGATTTTGTTTAGGTAGTAGTAATTGGTTGATCTCTAGCGACCATGAAAAAGTTGCTTTTGTCAGCGGTTCGTCTACACTGACTACTCATCCAAAGCCTATGGATCAAGTTACATTGAAGCACGCAAATCTGTTGATTTTGACGGGCTTAACACAAACGCCAACTGCTAATCCAGACACAATGCTTGGGGAATTGTGCATGACTGTTGGTAAGTATAATCTCAATATCTGATAAATTGCGATATACCCAGCAAAAAGATGATCTCTTGATATTTTGATTAAAATCATATTTCTTAGGAGAATTAACAAATGATAAAATTAATTTATGTTTTTCTGACAAAATTGTTTTCTTTATTAAGTGCATTATTATTCGGATTTTTTGTCGCTGGTTATTTTCTGAATATATAATGTATATTTTTGAACAAAAATATAATTTAAGTAATGATTTTATCTTACCTCGTAAAAATATTGCAGCTGTGACTCTTAGAGCTGGTGGATGCGTCTTGATACCTTGTTATCCCTCTGGCGTGGTGTATGATTTATTCGAGTGTCTGAGCACTCATCTGGATAAGTCAGGCTTCACGCAAGTGCCTCTATTCTTCATCTCGCCTGTGGCGGAGACATCCTTGGCTTATTCAAATATTCTTGCTGAATGGTAATCAATGAAGTGATTCTAAAATATTTCTGATGTATTGCATTCTATTATTTTTTATTTTTTATTTTACTATCATTTTTTACTTTTAGGCTGTCAACAAATAAACAAAACAAAGTTTATCTTCCAGAGGAACCGTTTCCACATGCTTTCCTTGTGAAGAATGCTCGATTGAAGCATTATACATCTACATACGCTGAAGGATTTAGCAGTGATTATCGACAGCCTTGTGTTGTCTTTTGCGGCCATCCCAGCCTTCGATTTGGCGATGCCGTGCACTTCGTGCAGTTATGGGGCGGCAATCCTTTGCATACCGTAATTTTTACCGGTAAGTCTACATAATTCTATTCAGA